CACAGTGGTACGCGCATAAATACTATAAGTTTTACTATAAGGTTTCAGGAGCTGTCGCCATAGAATAGGGTAAAAATAAAAAATACATTAGAAAAGTATTTTTTTTTTACAGAATCGATATTTTGATTTGAAATGTCGCGTGACGTCACTTCTATGTATATTTTATACGTAGAAATGACGGTTTAGCCCCCACTCCTAAACTTTGATTCGTTATATATAGGTATCATTTTATTATACAACAAAATAAAAAAATACGTGTCTAATATTTTTCATTACCTAACTGACGGACTAAATAGATTTTCAATTTTCATACCCTGTCATCATCCCTATTATAACTTCTTAATCACGCTACTGTTATAGACACAGTATGAAACTGAAGAGATATATTACAGAGAATGCTAGAATGACATCACATCCGAGTAAGTCCCAGTAAGTAGCGAGCAAGCGAGTGAGCCCACTTTGGAGAGTTACTAGATACTACTAGTTAGTACTGGTAGATTTCACAGATGTCCGCCAGCATTAACTTGACTGTTTTATCCTTTGACTACTCCTTCAGAGAATGACAAGTGTTGGTTTTGTTTGAACAGTAGTATTTTCTGATTTGTTACTGACAAAATTATGATAGACTCGAGACGCCACATAATTAACACACAATAGGCAAAGAAAAACCAACCTTTGAGTTATCGCGTAACCGGCGTAACACAGTAACCACAGAGCGATGCCTACTGATAGCCAAGTCACTCACTCACTCACTCAGTAGACGAGCGGACAACTTTCTCACGAACACTGAATGACATACTGCGCTATTGTTACTACTTAATTGGTATCTAGGTCTGCAGCAGCCATTCAATACAGCTATAAGTAGTTACGTTTTGAAATCATTGTTATCCCTAAGTCGATATTGAATTGATAAAATCGAATTAATCATTGTCTTTCCTATTTAAGCAGGCAGACAATTAATATCAACATGGAGATGGAGGGTTAGAAAGAGGTGCAGAATTTTATTACAACACATAGCATACTACTCAATTAGTACATGTATGATATTACTATTGGTTTAGTAATAAGTATACACTTTCAGTCAATTATAACAATTACCTACATACAGTTTATAATTTAACTACCTTTTGCCCGCGGCTTCGCACGCGTTTTTTCAATCGACTTAAAAAAAGGAAGATATGTGTGTGTTTGTTTATTCGCGATTGTCTGAACGGATTTTGATGCGGTTTGCAAAAAACTGTCAATAACGCTAACGCTTAGGAGAAGGTTGTTCAGTTTTTTAAACGTAGTGTATATAATAATTATTGCAATTATTATACATTTTTTTTAAGGGGGGAAAATCATCAAATGACTGCTCCCGCCTGGGTGAGGCGGGAGGGAGTGTCAGACTCTTGCTGATTAAAAATCACCCCGTTCCTTCTCTTGCACGTCGAGCCGGAGCCCCGGTTACCCGTTAGGTTCTCCGCGACAATTATTATACATTAGAAACCTTCCTTTTGATTCACTATATCTAATAAACAAAATCTGTTTTGTAGGTACTTTTGACAATCTGCGAAGTAGTCATGCTAGCTAAGGAGGAGGCGGAGCGCGTGAGGGAACGAATCTCCTCACGACCCGGCCGTCGCGAGAGACACTCCGGGCGTCGGGGATCGCGAGACGGTCTCCGGCCACCGTAAGCACGGGCCTGCGGACGACGAGCACGGGTGACTCGCCGCCCGACCAGAACCAGGCCCGAACGTACGGCGCGTCGCGTTCCGCGTGCGCCTCAAGGAGCCATCAAACCACCACAGATAGGCCTAAGTTAGGCCCCATCTTAGGCCACCTAACAGGGCTGATGCCGATACGGAGCCGCGGAAGACTTAACGGGTTGCCGGGGCTCCGGCTCGAAGTGTAGGAGTAGGAACGGGGTGGTTTTTAGTCAGTAAGAGTCTGACACTCCCCCTCCCGCCTCACCCGGGCGGGAGAAGTCATTGGATGAAATTTAAAATTTAAAATTCCGTTCATTAGGTAGAATTGTGTCAGAAAATAATCCTAGGTAGGTAGGAAAATAATTAAATTTAAAACAAATAAGATTGCATGTAATAACTATGAACACTTGTTACGTTGTAGGTACATTACGTGGTTGGATCATCTACTAGGATTTGACGTCACCGTGCAGCTCGAGGGTTGCGTCGTGCCACCCCCGCAAGCTCTCTGACGTGTCAGCGTGTCCCGTGACGTCACAAGCAGACAGGCGCCGGGCGCCCTAACAAGCATTATTCGCAACAGTAACCTAGTTACCATAGTATAATGTCTACACTGTCTACATACTTAAACATATAGCCTTACCAAGTGAATGTAATCATACCCAGTTAACTATTACCTTAGGTACTTGCTAGCTACGTATGTACCTGTGCTATAACAATGTAACTGTCAATTCGTAAAATTCCTAATTCATTATCGATAAGAGTAACGATTGTATGAACACAATGTATTTTGTCGTCTTTAATTAATGTAAGCGATATGTAAATGAATTCGTTACATTATTTTTGTACAACAGTCCGTTGTGCGGCGTGTGGTGAAGGTTAAACATTTAATTTTAACCCCTGCCTAAGTACCTATCTACTAACAGGATGTAGGGAAGGAGTTAGGTACCCTGAGGTTTTGATAACAACGCAACGCTATTGCGCGTGAATTAATGACTTATTCGTATTTCTTTTCAACTTGATTTGTTGACTAATCTTATTTTACTTTGTATGTATTCTAATCAACATAAATAATAGTGTAGAAGTACCCTACCTACCCTCTGCCCACAGAAATATTTTTGTTAGTTTACTACTTTTTAAACCTGGGTAGTTCGGTGTCGTGCCGGAATCAGATATGAAATAGTGAGGTCACTTCAAGGCAGCAGACCTGTAATGGCAATAACAGCTAGCGTGACGATAATCTAAGCGGTCATCGTTCATCAGGCGGACCGCGGTTTGCTGTCAATTAATGTCGTCTGATTTAAAAGGAAATAATAGAACTAAGTTCTAGGAAGATAGGTAAGTAAGTACCTAAGAAGGACTTGGTGACTTTCTGATAGAATTCTAGAATGAACTAAATAAATAGAGAGTAATGTCGTATTGTTATCGAATTCACCCGGCAAATGACGCTTGTTAAATGCAATTTCAAAGAATTTTTAATATTTTTAGTTATGTTATCCATAGATTTAGTAATTATGTTTCTGTTTGGAAATCATACCTTCAGGATAGACAACTTAAAGTACAAGTAAATAAAGTAAATTCATAGGGTGCTAGCATATCTATGGGTGTACCGCAGGGATCGATACTAGGTCCATTCTTATTTTTAACATTCATAAATGACTTGCCTTGCTTATTTAAAAATGAACCGTAGATGGTATTATTTGCTGATGACACTTCATTAGCTTTTAAAGTAAAATAAATAGACGGACAAATAATTATGAGGACGTAAATAACGCCTTAATGAAGGTTCAAAATTGGTTTACGTTAAATAACTTAGTACTAAACGATAAAAAGACAAATGTATTGGATTGTTTTTGCCAAACGTTAAAAGCAGCGAATGTGACATATTATTGAATGGTGAGAAATTACAAATTGTAAAAGAGACAACTACTTGGGAATTACGGTAGACGACAAATTGAAATGGGGTCCTCACATTACATCTTTAGCGAACGATTGAGCTATGCAGCTTGTGCTGTCAGGAAAATCCGTCGTTAATTAGGAAGATGCTTCATTTTGAATTTGTTTACATTCAAAAGTGGTTTTCTGGTCTAATTGAAATAAATAATTTTGACTTTGACTTTAAAGGACTTTCGGGAATCGTACTAAGCAATGTGCAATTTGACTGAACGACTGGAGCGATGGCTGGGCAACTGGCTGCCACGCAATGTCGCAACGTGTCGGGGTTCGATTCCCGCACGGAGCAACTCTTTGTGTGATCCACAGATTGTTGTTCCGGGTCTGGTTCCTGCTATGAAAATCCTAGCTAGGGGTAACATTTAAAAAAATAGCAAACACTAGCTAGGCGTGCAGCGATACTTACGTGCACGTCAATTAGGACTGCACAACTGACGACTCAATTAACTGGAAGTAGTTTAGTTACTGTTAAATTAACGACGACATGCGATCACTACTCACCGCACACGCTTCAAGTGCGGCACAAACACTTAACCGAAAGGAATAAGAATTAGGCACAAACGTACCTATGTCTTAAGGCCGGAAATAAAGTTTCCATTCCAGCAGTCGCAGCCTGAGACGTTAACATACTATTTAACTATAAATGACACGGGTTTACATTGTATCCTGGATTAGAAGGACTCTGTATCATTATGTAGTAGTTACAACATGTACCCGACTGAAGCTTTCGAGTGTCTGTAAAGACAGGTGACACAAGTAGGTAACTATGTGCCATTGATACAAGCAGACTAGTGGACTAGTGGTTATCCTATTAATCTTATAAATGCAAGTTTGTATTGTTGTTTATTTATTACTCCTTCACATAGAAACGGCTAAAGGGATCAAGATGGAACAGGAGTAGATTATGGTCTGGATTCTGGAATAATACATAGGCCACCTATATCCTGGCAGAAGTTAGTATGCAAGTCTAAAAGTTTTGTTACATACTCTTCATTTAACAGATTTGGGGTGATTTCAGCTCTGAAACATTAAGTATGTGATTTAGTTGTCACTACTTCGACTTCGAGTCAGCTGATGTAAGTGAATATTGCCTATTAATTATTACTTTCAATGTTGTCACACTGAATGTTTGATTTATTACCCGACTACACCGAAGCCAAAAGGAGGGTTAAGACTCATTTCGATTTTTAAGAACTAAACCAATTTCGTTGTGCATGTAAATATGAATAGGTATTACGAAATGAAGTTACTTAGCTCCTAAGCAATTATGAATTTTAAGATTAGCTAGTTTATCCAAGTTTTAATTAGTTTACAACTTGTATATTTTTCGCGAAAATATAACTTGATACGGCAAACACTTACAAGTTTCAGCCGGTTCAGGAGACAGCACCATAAATATGTCGCCTTTTTCGTATTACAGCTCAGGCAACTTCGTTTGTAAAGACACTGATACACGCACTATTACGTAGAAACAGTGATTATTTCAATGTTTAGTTGCGGAGTGTCGCGCGGCAACGAGCGGCGCCGTGCGTGTCGCGTGCCGGACTGGCGGCGCGCGGTCACCGAGCGGCCGCTCCGCGCATGCGCCGCGCCTCGCACTCGCCGCCATACTGGACACGCGCTACTGTACCACTCTACTACTGAAGTACTGACTACACCGGGTTCTGTGACTGTCGTCACTCGCCGCTAGGGTTGCCACCCGTACTTTATAATAAAGTATTGTACGTTATTTAAGGTAATTGTACTCTATACTTTATAAGAAGAATAAAGTACACGAAAATACTTTATTTTTGCAAACTTCATTTCTATTAAAGTCGTAAGTATTTTTCGGTAAACTTATCGATTCGATATTGATATTTATCGATTTATGTTGAATCGATAATTCGCCAGCGCCACTTAGACAATTTCTAGTAAAGATGCAATTGTTTAGTATTTCAATGCAATTGTTTAGTAAAGGTACTAATTTAATACAAACTGCAAAAAGCAATAAAAAATATATTTTTAAATATAATACTAAATAAGAATAAATTGTACTTTATTTTTGTACTGTGTACTTTTTTTTCTTATCTATAATCGTCAATGTACTTTACATACGAAAGAAAAAGGTGGCAACCCTACTCGCCGCCGAAGTTCGCGAACATATCAAGTGGCGGGAAAATGATACGCAACACATTTTATTTACAAAATTTAATTCAAATCAAAATCACACTAACAATAATTATTATTTAATGACAATTTTTAACATAACAATGATTTATCACAATGAAACAGACACCTAATTACATTATAGTATTTTGCAGAAATGATATACATTAGTTGTAATTAATAAAGACATAACAACAGATTCATTACAAATACACAAAAAACTTACAATATTTCATAGCGATGGAGAAGCGTGAAAGCTTTTTAAGACACACACGTTTAAAACACAGAGGCTAAGCACTGCTTTTGACATCTAAGTACTTTTTTGTTATTTATTTATAACTTTCATCAATAGACATTCATACTTGTAACTATTTTGGTTAAAAAATATGTATACCTACTATTGCTGAAACTTATATTTGTAAAGAAAACAGTCTTTAAGTATTACATTTTATTGCTCTCCATTATTTGCGGTTTCAGACTGTTGTTTAATCAGTGCAACGTCCGTGGCGGACTGGAGATCCACAATATTTCAATATCGATATAAAATATATAATTACAATTTTCCCCATACTTATCTAACCAGTGTGTCACCAAGTGCCAAGTGGTGTCGGGTGTAGCGACAGTAGTACAGTATACTCGGACGAGTACTGGACACACCACGCACTGTCGTAGCCAGTCTTACGATTACGACGTAGGTATATTACCACACATTATTAAATAGTAAGCATACATAAACGACATTTTGTTTCGGAGTTTATCTACAAATAATGCGGGAACGTTCTATACAGCAGCAGTAGCCAAATGCCACTTAGCGCTTGTCTACATGTAGAATAGAAAATTATATGGAATTGACGTAAATTTTGACACTTGTCAGTGTCATCCCCATACATTTTGATTTCTACTCTCTGTAGACAAGCGCTAAAGTGGCGTTTGGCTAAAGGCACAGGCTCATCACCTGTCAATATTCCGGTTCTGCCTGCGCAGTATGCAGACGAGTCCCGCAGTCCAGTAGACAAGCTCCGACCTTACACTAGTTACAATCTACATCAGTCTGCACGTACATCATCGAATGGTGAGTTAGTGGTGGCTGCGACCGACTCCACTGCGTGCTCGAGGACGTCAGTCGGACGCGGTCGACCCAGTCGGAGTGGGAACATTAGCTTACATGTACTATACTTATTACTAACTTATTATATAATCCTTACTTATATTATAAATGGGAAAGTGAGGTTGTTCCGCTTTAACGCCATAACTACTAAACCGATTGCTTTGAATTTTTGCAGACGTAAAGTTAGAAGTCTGGATTAAATAATAGAGTCCTTTTTATCCCGGAAATATTTGATATTCCCGAGAGAAAATAAAAGTATTGGTATAGATTGCCCTGTGTGTGTTAGTATATGTCACACAGGCTACTTTTTATCCTTTTGTGACGCGAGCGAAGCCGCGGGTGAAAGCTAGTTTATTATATGTCTACCATTTTCACTGTTAGTATTTTAATTGTTGCCAACTACGTAATATGGTGTTTATAAGTTTAAAAATATATGTCTATTTTATGACTTTGAATACAAATAAAATGAAATCAAAGTGAATACGTTCTGCACAGTTCTGCAAAGGTACTTAGAATGTGGTATATTAAAATTTGTGTATGTTTGCTACAATATTATTATCTATTAAACTTATGACATATCTACTGAGGTGCTACGCTCAGCTACTGCAATACATCTAAATTATCAGAATTTCGTCTTTGAAGATTGAAGACAATAACAATAATGAAGTGTCTGTTGTTGTTTCATTGCAATTGTATTTATTTTAAAAAATACGAGATGACGTAAGTGCTAGGTGTATCTGCGCCTGCGACGGGCTACTGGTCAGTGGCGCGCGCTGAGACACTGGTACCCGTACTTGATCAGGTAGTGCACGCGGGCGTCCCCGGCCAGCTCGGCCAGCTCGGGCGCCGTCAGCACGTCCTCGGCCGCCGGCAGCACCACCTGCACGTCCGCGCCTGCACGCGCACTCGCGACTTGTACTACTTCCTCCCGAATGTATCATTCACACCACTACTTCCAAAACTTTTAGCAATCAACTCGTGCCCAGTTTATACAGGGCGTCCCAAAACTCAACGATAATCTGAGACCGGATGAAAAGCCAAGTTATACCATTTCTGGGAAAAATAATAAAAAAAATCCATATAACTCAGTTCAGCGATAATAGACAATTTAAATAAAAAGTTGAAATTCGACACCCTTGGTCGCGTTTTCAAGTCCTGTGATCACCAATGTCACAATTTCGCAGTGTTTTTTTTAATTTTGTGATCTTTATTAAATATGCTGTTAATCGCAACTACAAATTAATGCAAAAACATCGTTAATTTAATAAAATAAGTTAACTTTGACACTTCATATTGAAAAAAAAAATGTACTATACTACCCTTGGCAAGTTATTTCAAAACATGGCGCATTTAATCAAGATTTTAAAATGGTGCAACACTTGCTACTTTTCTTGCCTTTATAAATTTTACTTCTTATTTTTTTCAAATTGAGCTCATTTTGAACAACTCAACATTAGGAATTTTTGTTACTAAAATTTGTTATTTTTTGTTTCTGGTCTGAAATAAAATTATTATTTTTAGTAAAGAGGTAATTGAGTCAGTTAATAACCAATTTTTATTGGACATAACACAATAGGTATTTATAATTTAAAAAACAATAAACGAACCATCGTAAAACTTTTTATTTAATTATTCTCCTTACAATTCTCTGTTACAATTCGAACATTTACTTTAGTTAATATAAAAAATAGTAAATAGTAACATACAGGCTCTGCAACGCCTTACAAAAGACCTTTTCACCAGTCGTGCAAAATTCCTTGCATTTATTTCTTCTGACGCTGCATCAATTTTCTGGCGAAGTTCTGAGAGATTTTGTATAGGTTTCGAATAGTCTTTTTCTTTTATGCACCCCCAGTAAAAAAATCAACTGGATTTAGATCGGGGGAACGAGGAGGCCATAAAATTGAACCACTGCGTCCGATCCATCTGTCAGGATATTCTACGTTCAAATAATCTCTTACAGCCCGAGCATAGTGCGCGGGACAACCATCTTGCTGAAACCACATTTCTCTGTAGATACTAAGCGGTACGTCTTCTAACAAATTTGACAAATCGTTTTGAAGAAAATGCAAATAGGTGGCGCCATCTAAATTTTGAGTTAGCTCACATGGTCCAATTATTCGTCCGTTTAAAATTCCAGTCCAAATGTTTACTTTGAATTGGTATTGGGATCGGTCTTCACGCATTAAATGCGGATTTTTGACGGGCCATTCATGAAGGACCTGTCTCATTTAAATGTTGATTCGTCGGTCCAAAAAATTTTATTTAGGAATTCCGGATCTTCACGATATTTTGCTAACATTGTCCTGCAGAAATCAATTCTAGGTGCGTAATCTCGTGGTAACAAACTCTGGACGCGTTGCACATGATAAGGATGTAATTTGTATCGTATTAAAATTCGATGAGCGTTACTTTTCGGTACTCCCGTTGCTGTTTCAATCGCACGAACTGAAGTGCTGGGGTCATTTTGAATTTCATTCAAAACTATGTCGTCGTAGTCTCTTTGCGGTCTTCCACCGGACGTACGAACACTGGGCAATCGTCCTTCCGAGTATGACGCATGCACATTTTGAAATACACGATAATCTGGGTGACGCTGCACATTTGGGTATCTCTCGCGATACAATCTGGCTGCGGCAGAGGCATTACAACGGCATTCACCGTAGATAAGATGCATATTTGCATATTCTAAAATAAGAAATATTTTTTAAAGGCAAGAAAAGTAGCAAGTGTTGCACCATTTTAAAATCTTGAATAAATGCGCCATCTTTTGAAATAACTTGCCAAGGGTAGTGTAGTACATTTTTTTTTCAATATGAAGTGTCAAAGTTAACTAACAATATTTTTGTGAACAATTACTCACTAAAACTTAACTTATTTTATTAAATTAACGATGTTTTTTGCATTAATTTGTAGTTGCGATTAACAGCATATTTAATAAAGATCACAAAATTTTAAAAATGACTGCGGAATTGTGACATTGGTGATCACAGGACTTGAAAATGCGACCAAGAGTGTCGAATTTCAACTTAAAAAAAAACTATTATCGCTGACCTGAGTGATATGGATTTTTTTTATTATTTTTCCCAGAACTGGTATAACTTGGCTTTTCATCCGGTCTCAGATTATCGTTGAGTTTTGGGACACTCTGTATATGAAATATTGATTGCAACAAACACTATGTAAAAGTAATGTACTCTAGAGCTTCATTCATTACGTGGGTATGAGCACCACCAACACTACTATTGATTACATTTTGGATGAAATATGAAAAGATAATAAAATACATGAAGTGTACTCTCACCCATAAGATGCACGAGGTCAATAAGCCGGAAGAACATCTTGTCGGACAACTCCTGCGCCGGCGCATCCACGCGACACGACGACCAATCGTCGGCCAGGATACACGCGCACCACACCTACATATATATTACACATACACATCCACGGGATACAACGACCAATCACCGGCCAGGATACACACACACGTGTATAAATAAATATATTACCCTGAGCCGCAGGTCGTCCCGTCTCTCCATGTCGTGTACGAAGTCAGTGAGGTCCAGCGCCTTCTTGTAGTCGTACTCTGTGAGCTCCTTACTGTCCGAGTCTATGTACATCTGTTGGTGTACGTCATCAGTATAAGATAGTTGTAGCTAACTAAAAATCGCGGGGTAGTCACGTGAAAATATTGAGAAAAGCTCTACTAGTTTCGAGCCACAGAGAGGCTCTTCTTCATAAACAGCGTGGAGCGGACGCAGCGATGTCGCAGCAGCGGGGCGCCGTAGAGCTTTTTTCAGTATTTTCACGTGAGTAACCCGCGGTTTTTAGGTAATTAAGACATACTATGATAATCACTATGGTTATTCATGCAATCATCTCACGTTAGTTATTATAAAAACATAGTTGTAGCTGTAACAAATTGTACGCACACTGCTGTAACAATGATTAGATTAAGATATATTGTGTACACATACACAACCTTATGTATGTGTACCTGTATGAGATCCTCTGCCGGCAGGACGGCGCAGTCCCCTGGCGGCAGGCCGTGGTGCTGCCTGAGTGTACCTGTATGAGATCCTCTGCCGGCAGGACGGCGCAGTCCCCTGGCGGCAGGCCGTGGTGCTGCCTGAGTGTACCTGTATGAGATCCTCTGCCGGCAGGACGGCGCAGTCCCCTGGCGGCAGGCCGTGGTGCTGCCTGAGTGTACCTGTATGAGATCCTCTGCCGGCAGGACGGCGCAGTCCCCTGGCGGCAGGCCGTGGTGCTGCCTGAGTGTACCTGTATGAGATCCTCTGCCGGCAGGACGGCGCAGTCCCCTGGCGGCAGGCCGTGGTGCTGCCTGAGTGTACCTGTATGAGATCCTCTGCCGGCAGGACGGCGCAGTCCCCTGGCGGCAGGCCGTGGTGCTGCCTGAGTGTACCTGTATGAGATCCTCTGCCGGCAGGACGGCGCAGTCCCCTGGCGGCAGGCCGTGGTGCTGCCTGAGTGTACCTGTATGAGATCCTCTGCCGGCAGGACGGCGCAGTCCCCTGGCGGCAGGCCGTGGTGCTGCCTGAGTGTACCTGTATGAGATCCTCTGCCGGCAGGACGGCGCAGTCCCCTGGCGGCAGGCCGTGGTGCTGCCTGAGTGTACCTGTATGAGATCCTCTGCCGGCAGGACGGCGCAGTCCCCTGGCGGCAGGCCGTGGTGCTGCCTGAGTGTACCTGTATGAGATCCTCTGCCGGCAGGACGGCGCAGTCCCCTGGCGGCAGGCCGTGGTGCTGCCTGAGTGTACCTGTATGAGATCCTCTGCCGGCAGGACGGCGCAGTCCCCTGGCGGCAGGCCGTGGTGCTGCCTGAGTGTACCTGTATGAGATCCTCTGCCGGCAGGACGGCGCAGTCCCCTGGCGGCAGGCCGTGGTGCTGCCTGAGTGTACCTGTATGAGATCCTCTGCCGGCAGGACGGCGCAGTCCCCTGGCGGCAGGCCGTGGTGCTGCCTGAGTGTACCTGTATGAGATCCTCTGCCGGCAGGACGGCGCAGTCCCCTGGCGGCAGGCCGTGGTGCTGCCTGAGTGTACCTGTATGAGATCCTCTGCCGGCAGGACGGCGCAGTCCCCTGGCGGCAGGCCGTGGTGCTGCCTGAGTGTACCTGTATGAGATCCTCTGCCGGCAGGACGGCGCAGTCCCCTGGCGGCAGGCCGTGGTGCTGCCTGAGTGTACCTGTATGAGATCCTCTGCCGGCAGGACGGCGCAGTCCCCTGGCGGCAGGCCGTGGTGCTGCCTGAGTGTACCTGTATGAGATCCTCTGCCGGCAGGACGGCGCAGTCCCCTGGCGGCAGGCCGTGGTGCTGCCTGAGTGTACCTGTATGAGATCCTCTGCCGGCAGGACGGCGCAGTCCCCTGGCGGCAGGCCGTGGTGCTGCCTGAGTGTACCTGTATGAGATCCTCTGCCGGCAGGACGGCGCAGTCCCCTGGCGGCAGGCCGTGGTGCTGCCTGAGTGTACCTGTATGAGATCCTCTGCCGGCAGGACGGCGCAGTCCCCTGGCGGCAGGCCGTGGTGCTGCCTGAGTGTACCTGTATGAGATCCTCTGCCGGCAGGACGGCGCAGTCCCCTGGCGGCAGGCCGTGGTGCTGCCTGAGTGTACCTGTATGAGATCCTCTGCCGGCAGGACGGCGCAGTCCCCTGGCGGCAGGCCGTGGTGCTGCCTGAGTGTACCTGTATGAGATCCTCTGCCGGCAGGACGGCGCAGTCCCCTGGCGGCAGGCCGTGGTGCTGCCTGAGTGTACCTGTATGAGATCCTCTGCCGGCAGGACGGCGCAGTCCCCTGGCGGCAGGCCGTGGTGCTGCCTGAGTGTACCTGTATGAGATCCTCTGCCGGCAGGACGGCGCAGTCCCCTGGCGGCAGGCCGTGGTGCTGCCTGAGTGTACCTGTATGAGATCCTCTGCCGGCAGGACGGCGCAGTCCCCTGGCGGCAGGCCGTGGTGCTGCCTGAGTGTACCTGTATGAGATCCTCTGCCGGCAGGACGGCGCAGTCCCCTGGCGGCAGGCCGTGGTGCTGCCTGAGTGTACCTGTATGAGATCCTCTGCCGGCAGGACGGCGCAGTCCCCTGGCGGCAGGCCGTGGTGCTGCCTGAGTGTACCTGTATGAGATCCTCTGCCGGCAGGACGGCGCAGTCCCCTGGCGGCAGGCCGTGGTGCTGCCTGAGTGTACCTGTATGAGATCCTCTGCCGGCAGGACGGCGCAGTCCCCTGGCGGCAGGCCGTGGTGCTGCCTGAGTGTACCTGTATGAGATCCTCTGCCGGCAGGACGGCGCAGTCCCCTGGCGGCAGGCCGTGGTGCTGCCTGAGTGTACCTGTATGAGATCCTCTGCCGGCAGGACGGCGCAGTCCCCTGGCGGCAGGCCGTGGTGCTGCCTGAGTGTACCTGTATGAGATCCTCTGCCGGCAGGACGGCGCAGTCCCCTGGCGGCAGGCCGTGGTGCTGCCTGAGTGTACCTGTATGAGATCCTCTGCCGGCAGGACGGCGCAGTCCCCTGGCGGCAGGCCGTGGTGCTGCCTGAGTGTACCTGTATGAGATCCTCTGCCGGCAGGACGGCGCAGTCCCCTGGCGGCAGGCCGTGGTGCTGCCTGAGTGTACCTGTATGAGATCCTCTGCCGGCAGGACGGCGCAGTCCCCTGGCGGCAGGCCGTGGTGCTGCCTGAGTGTACCTGTATGAGATCCTCTGCCGGCAGGACGGCGCAGTCCCCTGGCGGCAGGCCGTGGTGCTGCCTGAGTGTACCTGTATGAGATCCTCTGCCGGCAGGACGGCGCAGTCCCCTGGCGGCAGGCCGTGGTGCTGCCTGAGTGTACCTGTATGAGATCCTCTGCCGGCAGGACGGCGCAGTCCCCTGGCGGCAGGCCGTGGTGCTGCCTGAGTGTACCTGTATGAGATCCTCTGCCGGCAGGACGGCGCAGTCCCCTGGCGGCAGGCCGTGGTGCTGCCTGAGTGTACCTGTATGAGATCCTCTGCCGGCAGGACGGCGCAGTCCCCTGGCGGCAGGCCGTGGTGCTGCCTGAGTGTACCTGTATGAGATCCTCTGCCGGCAGGACGGCGCAGTCCCCTGGCGGCAGGCCGTGGTGCTGCCTGAGTGTACCTGTATGAGATCCTCTGCCGGCAGGACGGCGCAGTCCCCTGGCGGCAGGCCGTGGTGCTGCCTGATGTGCTGCGCGCGGGCCAGCGCGCGCAGCACGCGGCCGACGCGCGTGACGCGGCGGTAGCACAGGTCGGCGGGCGCCAGCGCGGCGGCGGCCAGCGCGCCCTCCAGGGCCGGCTCGTCCTGCAGGGCGCCGGGCCCGCACACCACCTGGGGGCCGCGCACTGTACTCGCTCGGTACTGACCTCCGTCATATGGAAATACTAGCTGTTACCCGCGACTTCGACCGCGTAAAACTTTTGATTGGAAATTGGATTTTTGAATTAATCTTTCCCAAGGTATATTCTACTCCTGTACGACTGTAACAAATGTCATCGGAATTGATTCAGTGCTTAAATTATATGTATTGCGAAATGAATTTATTTTAGTAGTTCCAAAAAATAAACACTTTGTGGCTAATGCCACACTAACTATTACAATAACCTAATGGTTAATTACATGTGTATTGTCTACACGCGGAGACACGTCACCGTGGCGTACATGAGGTTACCGGACCCTCTCAGTCCCCGAATCCCCCACAATCCTCAAAATCAATATTATTATTATTCACCCCTGTATAATTCATCTTTGAATATACAAAAGAATACGAATTCAAGTTACCTGAAAATTATTATTTTTATTTGTGGTTTTTCTCAAACTGCTGTCAACCTCTTTGCATACCTTAAGGTTAATATCGTAGTATAAAAAAAAACTATGAATTGTGTGTGTCTGTTTATTTGTCCTTCTTACGCGGCAGGACGGAGCTAGAAAAATTTTTTGATTGGAGATAGTTGAACGGATAGAGAGCAACAAGGGCTAATATTGTCTCTGTCTAACCCCCACTTCCCTGAGACAGAGGGGTGGAGGTTTGTGTAGAGTATTTTGCAATTCTCAAGGTGGAAATTAATAGATCGCGATCAAAGCCGCGGGCAGAGGCTAGTCTATTGATTGAATTTTTTTTCCAATTTAGGGTACGGTATTTCAATAGGTTAAAATCGCCGATACATGATGCAGCTTAAAACTAATATTAGTCCTTGAAAACCCACAGAACTTCATTTTTGTCGCCGCCATGACAATTACAAATCATCAGGTTGGTTACCGTAGTAATGTTACCTGTCAATTATCCGTTTTCAGATAAATCGTAATTAATATGCAAAAGGTAGAAATATCCGTCGCCGGGTCGCCGTCGCGGACTTTTATTTAGAACTAATCAAGGCAAACAGTCTTACAGTACATTATCTTAGTGTAACTCCTATGGTTTAGGCAGAATACGTCTAGATAGGTCTCAGAGGCCCGACTTGCCTAACATTTTGCGTTATCTTTCGCCTAAAATAACATAAAGTCATTACAAATATGTTATTCTGGTGTATGACCTAAACTACTGTGAAGTTTCATGTAAATCCGATCAGAAGTTTTTGCGTGATCCAGTAACAAACACATCCACACACTCTCACACACACATACATCCTCAGAAACTTTTATAATATTAGTAAGACTTCGCATTTATAATATTAGTAAGACTACATAGCTCACGAATAAAAAATAGGTATCTTTTTGGCGTAAAGGAAAACGGTACGAAAGAAAACAAGTAATGTTAGATAGAAAATAGAAAGCACATGCACTCGCACTTTGAAGACACCAGGATATAATATACCCTTCGGGAAACACTGACTCTAGCATTGATATGCTATGATTGCCAAGCGACTCGTTATAGTCTCAATATTCGGCTTCGATTCATATTGTTATGCAGGTTGTACCATTGAGACGGACTACTTCACAGCGCAGTACCGCGGCGCTCACCTGGTTGATGGCCGCGTCCACGAGCTGCGCGTCCGGTCCCTGCTGCAGCTTCCTCAGGGCGATAGCCATGCTCAGCAGGTCGGCCAGCTCGCCCAGAGCATTCTCTGTACTGACGACACTTCCAGACTCTGAATGAAGCAAAAGATAATGGCATGTACATACAAGCGGAGCGGGCGCCACAGCGAGGAGTGTGGAAGCAGAGAGTGGTACCGGCGGTGACGAGCCCCAGGCGCTGCCACAGGCCGGCGGCGCGCAGGAAGTCGCAGAACAGGCCGAAGGCGCGCTGCTTGTCGCGCAGCTGCGCGTCCAGCTGCAGCGCCGCCGAGCTGCCCAGGCACGCGCCGCCGCGCTGCGACCAGCGCGGGTCCCCGGCCGGCACGTCGTCCAGCATGTCGCAGGCGATGCGCAGCACGGCGCGGTCCAGGTCCGCGTCCACGTCGCGCGGCGCCGGGGCCGCGGGCGCCGCCAGCAGGCCGGCCAGCAGCGCGGCGCTGGC